TTAGAAAAGGAGCAAGTAACTCACAATCAAAACAAGCTAGTGAAAATTAAGGAACTCTATTTATAAGTCGTACTTTTCAAAAAGTTAATGAAAAGCAGCACCAGGAGATTAGTCTGAAAATACTTTCATATGTGAGAAAAAAAGGGGCTAACCAGTGAACTGCTGGAGCCCAGCATACGCCTGTTGTAGTGGATCCATATTAGGGGATGTATTCTGCCCAGTCAACTGGATAAGATTATTCGCTGATGTAGCTGAGACGCCGCCTATCTTACAGTCACTTGCAATGGTACCTATAAATTATACAGGGTAATCAATTACATTGATGAAAAAATTTTATAAACGAGGAAGACTGCCATGTTAAAATATTCCTTCATTCATGTTATTTTAATCAATATATAAATTCCCACTTTGCATCAATCCTTCTCATTACAGGGCTCTATGATCAGTCTCGGCACCGTATGCTTTTGAATGAAAGGCAGAGTGTAAATTGTGCTGCACTGATAACTATGTGACAAGCAAATGCCCAGCGTTCAAAAAAACGCGAATGATCCTGAGTAAGCAGCATTTCCGCGGTTCCCTATATGCATCCTTTAAAATCCTTTCATTGTAAGAAATCAAGCGAATTTAAGACGAAAAAGCTTCAACATATTTTCAGACAGGCGACAGTTTATCGGTATTTAAATAAAAAATTCGTTTTCCACAAGCACGCCACATAAAACAGTGAGGATGCAAAGTTCGTTTCATTAAATAAATGCAGTTTACTGGGCCAAAGGCCTAACAAACTGCATTTTTATCCATTAGTGTTTCACGCAAAATACCAACAGGCTGCTCTCAAGACCACACGTCAGTATACAATAATTGGCCAACGCACGGGCTGCCCGTACGAAGATGCGCTTTTGCATAGTCCCCTTCAGTCTTTGTCGCTACCGGCACCGGTTTTTCCGGCAAATGCTTCTAGCTAAACAAATTAAGTCTGGCCGCCAGAACTGTCAGGAAATACCCCCTTAAAATTTCAGCTTCCTAGCTTTTCATGGCTCCTGAGTTAGCAACTTATTCCAAAAAAACTTTCACGGATCCGTACGCGGGTATTACACGCACCCGATGTCTGGGCTTGAGCTCGCTGAGACTCACGTGGATGGGGGACATCCTCTTAAAATTACAGTCTTCTAACTTTTCAGGTTCTCGAGTTAGCAGCTTACCCGAGACCTTGGTGAGCCCGTGCGTGGGTACCACACATACCCGAGGGCTGGGTTTGAACTCATCAATATCTACTTGGGCGGGGAATACGTCCTTAAAATTCCAGCCTTCTAGCTTTTTAGGTACTCGAGTTAGCAACTTACCCGAAAAAAATTCTGGCGGGTCCGTACGTGGATGCCACGCGTGACCGAGAAGTAGTTTGAAGCTTATTAAGACTTACGTGGGCAAGGAAAGCCCCCGCAAAATTTCAGCTTTCTAGTTTTTCTGATTCCCGAGTTAGCGAATTACCCCCGAAGAACTTTCACGGGCCCGTACATGAGTACCACGTATACCCGAAGGCTGGGTTTGAGCTCATTAGGGCTTTCGCTGACGGAAATCGTCCCCTTAAAATTCCAGTTCTCTGACTTCTCAGGTTCCCGACTTAGCAACTTGCCTGAAAAAAACTTTGGCGGGCCCGTGCTTGGGTACCATGCATACCCGAGAGCTGGGTTTAAGCTCATTGAGACTTACGTGACAGGGAACATTCCATTAAAATTACAGCCTTCTATTTTTTCAGTTTTCCGAGCTACCAACTTACCCGGAAAAGATTTTGGCGGGCCCGTGCGTGAGT